GATGAACCCATGCTGACTGCCCCTGAGCATGATCTCCCCTGCGGCCCCCCCACCCCACCAAATTCCTTCCAGCTCCAGGCTGGTCAAGTGTTTGTGGGACAGAAAATGGGGAGAACCCGAGCATGAAACAAAAGGTGGAATGAAAGATTACCTGTAGTTGCGCCCTAATCTTTCTACATTGCTATTTCCTCCTGCCACTCCCTGGTCCAACCTTCCTGTCTCAGCTGATGCTTGTTGCAAAAATCTAATCACCTTAGGGTAAAAGCACTCCTATCATTTTGGCAAACAGAGCCATGCATGCAAGGGAAATGGTTTTATTCAGGTGTGTCTTCTGGCAGGAGGCAAGGAGCAGGAGCTAATAGGCCTGTAGAAGGGGAAAAGAGCAAGCAGATGCAGGGAAATTAGACATTGTGCTGTGAAGATCATCTTAAGAACTTCGCTAGCAGTGCTTTAGCAAATGATACCAATAACTCTTAAGTGGTGGCTTGAGGGGGTGGAAAAACCTAGGAGCAGACTGGCCCCTATCACATGGCTTTGGAAAACTAGCTGGCTCCTTGGCCTCTGCAGAACGTCTATGATTTATACCCTTCTATACACCATTGACTGATCTCAAATACCTTACAACTGTTAATAAACTATGCTTTACAAAAAGCCCTGTGAGCCAGGTAAACCGTGGCCCTGTTACAGAAAGAAAAGCAGAGGCACAGAGACCTAAAAGCGCTGTTCTGTTTTGCAGAGATATGATGAAAATGAGCAAATCTGCTTTCTCTTCTGGCGTCTCATGCATTGCTATAGTGATAATGTCTCCTGTTAGTCCTGCAGGACTATTGCAGCTCTAGAAGAGTGACTGGCTTATATCAGACTATTTCAACTACAGGATCAAATTCTGTCCTCAGGGACACCTCTGCATCCTCACTGAAGGTCAAGAAATGGACTGTGTGCAACTGAAGATCATTTGGCCCATGATCTTCAGTGGGTGACACAATGCTATTGGCTTATGCTTGGGATAACATGCGACTTTGTGTTGGACCCATTTCCTACTAACCCCAAAATATTTGATAAGAAATTGTGTGCATTGAGCCTCAAGTGACTTGCTCAATACACAGCAGCTGTGAAAGTGAAAACGTGGCTTAGTCCTGAGTGCATCCCCTACTCTTGCCACCAGGCCTTTCAAGGGGAAATATGTGATGCCATTCTACTGAGATGTGGCTTTCCTGGAAAGAGGAAGTGGGGGATATATTGGAGGAGGAGGGTAGGTTATCTGCTTCAAAAGACTTCAGGATGAGCCATCCAGACCTTGGGTTAAAAAAGGGAAGGGAATGACTGAAGTGGATAGTAGAGACCACATATAATCAGCCCTGCTATGCATAGGAGACAAGTTTTGGCTCTTTAAAAGGAGTGTTTACCAGGTGGCTTCCAGGGACCATTGAGAAATCTCCCAGTGTGACTCCCTGGTTTCAAGTGCTTTTTACCATCCTTACTTCTCTGGTCTTGTGCACGGTCTCTGCAACTAACCAAGGTCTGAGTGGCCACGTGGGAAGCAGGAGGCAGACCTGGGGGAGCCACTGCCCTTGCTGATGCCTCCTGCTGTGCTTTCACCTGAGAACCAGCCCTTTGGTCACTCACGTCATGCAGGACGTGCCGAGGTAGCTTCTCAGCATGGGCCATCCATTCCTTCATGTAGTCCGTCACTATAGGAATGAGGCTCACCACCCCTCCGTAGTGATTCCTTGCTTCATCGCAGCTCAGGTGATTCACCACGTCGTGGGGGTACCTGCGTGATAAAAGAAAGCATTTACCAAAGCAGCCAAGGATGTGTGACTGCAGAGAATGAACAAGCTAGTTTTTAGAATCACTCGTGAGAGTCACAATCCCCTTTCCCAAGACAAAGGGGCAGTGATAGAACCAGGCCTTGTGGCTGAAATTCCTGCCACAGTGGCATCCTCCCTGCTAGTCCCAGCTGGGTGGTCCCCGGATGATCCAAGTCCAAGCGCATGTAAAAATACTATTATCCCTCTGCCCCTTGCTGAAAAGAACTTTACTGATGGGATGGGGTGGTGATGGCATTGCCTGTGCCTTCCATGTGCTAAGCTGCCCAAATGACCCTTTTCACGAATACTAAAGCTTCCAAATCTTGTATAAGAAAACTAAACATCTATGGATAGGACTGAGGGGAAAGAGGGGAAGCTTCCACAGAGTAGGGAAAGCCCAAAGTTGATGGCAGCCTCCTCCCCCATTAGAATGTAGAAGGGATTCATGTAGCTAGAATGGACATTTCCAGATGGTGATCATGCACAGGCGTACTTGTGATCACTTCCCGGTCTGGTACATGAATGCACAATGCTGACCATGTGACTAGAGAGAGAGGTACAGCACTGATTTGCTTCTCTAGACCTACTTGGCTCGAATGTTGCTCAGGTTGTTGCTGTGGCTGAGAAGCACCTTGCATTTTTCCAAAATGTTGTTTGTGATGCTGTTACCAGGGTGCACAGCTTCTAGCTTCTGACAGAGCATGCTCAGATCTTCACAGATGCTCAAGAACATGAGGAGGATGCGCCTGTCGGTGGCGTTGTTACAGTGATGCTCCATGTAGCTCTGCACCTACGCAGCGCAACATGTGGAGGGAAGGGCAGTGTTAAACTGTGTGGACACTAGTTGCAGATACAGTTGCGTGGTTTTCATAGCCTTATGTGCAACACACCACATGTAGCTTGTGTTATAGCGTGGGGAAGCTGCTCTTGCCCACTCTTATGCAAGGACAAGATGGAATTATGTGCATCAGACCTTCTGGATCCTGGAAATATTTCCCCTGTTACTGTACAACAGGATGTAGGGAGATATGGGACAAGACAGATCCACTCACAGGCCAATCCATGAGCCATGCCCCAACCCCCTGAGCAGAAGTATGGCAGGGCTACCCCAGCTTTAGAGCTACAGCACTGTACAGCAGCTGCTAGGTGGCAGGGCAGCGTAAGGGGAGAATTTCTTGTTTCCATCCTAAGTGGCAGATACCCTGAGCTAAGCGCAGCTGCCCAGGCAGAATGCAAGGTGGAAGACAGAGGCTCTAGCCTGTGAGCATTTTGAGGTAGAAACTATTTAAGGTATGTGCACAACACCCTGACTGATCTAGGCACTGCTGCAGTGCCTACTTGGTAATCTACAACGTTAAACCTTAGGTGTTGTCTGCCTCAAGCCCCTTATCTCTACTGGATTTTTTTTTTACTAGATGACACAAATGGAAATGGTATTGGGCAGCAAAAATACTTGGGTTACCTGTAAAAGGTGGGGACTCGAAGTGTAGATATTTTGGTATTCAGAGAAGATTGACTTTTTTTTGTTTGTTTCGCTGTTGTGTTTTTTGTGAAAGGCTCAAAGTTAGACGGGGATGGTTTGGGAAACTAAAAGATGTTGTTAAGTTGCTCATTTAAATCCAACACAGACTGGTACAGCTTTGGTTCCACTTCTGCCTAGGTCTGCCTGCTATGCAGCTGGCTTGTGCTATTGTAATATTTAGCGACTATAAACATTTAGGAACACAAGGTGTCTGGACACTTGCCTAAATAGAGAGCAAATTCCTGGCATTTCAGCAGATAAATGTGAAATCCTAAGGAAATCTGATCCTACTGATTCAGATTTTACTCGGTGTCTTTGCCTTGCAGGTGGAGAATTTGTTCTTGGAGATAATTCTGTTGCTCGCTGCACAGCCAACATTCTCTTTGTATTTTGATTTCTCCACAGTGTCTAAATTCTTCCCCCTCTTTAAAACAACCAGTTTTAAAAATTCCATGACAATTCACTTACCAGCCCAGAAACCCTTGCCCCACTTGAGACCTTCAGCCCTCAATCCATCACTCTGCTGCTGTAGCACAGCCATTATTTTTAATAAGCACTACAGAAAGACACAGTGGTAACAATACTGGGGATGGGAAAAGGCAAGCCAGCTAGTTACTCCACGTTAAGGCTTACAGATGTCGTGTGGCAGAGGAGAAGGTTAGTCCTGCTTGTACCACAGATCTGGTTAAGTCCAGCATGGTGAAACGGGTGGTTGGTTAAATTATCTAAACTAGTGCTTAGCAGTACGTACTATTTTGTATAAACCATTAAGTTACCATGTGTCTGGGTTTTTGTTTTTTGTTGGGTGTTTTTTTGTAGCCTTGTAATACTGAATTAACAAACACATGATGCCAGAGAGGTTTGTCTGCTTCCCGCCTCCTGAAAATATTTATTCATCACTGATATACATTCAACTACACGACAGCATTATGCTGTTCCCTGTCTCTGCTAGCTGGGATCTGTGCGCCGAATGCTTTGTACCTGTCCAATGCTTGCCACAGGCCTGATCTTGTCATGGGCATTCTCTCGGGTGTGTTCCAGTGCTGCGATAAATGTAAACTGCTGCTGCTGGAAGAGTTTGTAGTACTGCTCTATGCTTCTCAGATTCTCCTTCACCTCGTTCATTTTTTCCCCCTCCTGGATTTGGGAAGGGGAGAGGGGAGGACGTCAGGTTTTTTTTAAAGTGATGCAATTTTACATGTGTTGCTTTCTTTCACCTGCAGCTGTAACCATAGAGGTTGAGTTGCAAAATAAAAATCAAGGAGAGGGGAAGATATATTTTGTCAAGGCGCTGCAGTCCCAGAGCCCCAAACAGTAAGTCAATGAGGTAGTAATGATGCTGCAAAAAGAGGTAGAGAACCCAGAGGGGACCACTGACAATCAGATGCCATAAACCCTAGTGGGTCTATTGTAAATATAATGTAGCAATGCATCAAACACAATGCTGTGAAAGGACCAGAGGGAGAAATGTCTTCTCTTACTTCGTGTAAAACTATTGCCCAAGTGGCTTAAAAACTCTAACATTAAGTGAAGGCTAGCTTGATAGGCAGAATATTGTGATGGAACAAGGGAGACCTGGATGCGAGGTTAACCTCTGGCTCTCGCATCCAAGCTGGGGCCCTGGCAAGGGGTGCTGATTTCCAGGCCTGGTCTTGAACAAATGTTGAGGCAGTGCAAGCACTGGGGAGATATATCAGCTTCTACAATTTTCCCTTGATGCCCCTTAATGTGTATTGTTCCATCCCTGCCCCCCGCTTCCTCCTTTAAAGCTACTGCTCTTTCTGCTGCCTTTAAAAATCTTTTCTGTGTTTCAAATTAAAACACATAAAATTAAGTTCATAACTATCCGTGCAGGAATGCTGTGGGTACTAGCTATTTTCATACTACGGTTTATATCAGGTTCTTGGGTAATGGCTTAGATGAGGAATTGTGATGGCTCATTGGGGATGCTGAAGGGAGCTGAGACTGGCACTAAGAGTCAAAGGATACAGCATAGGGTAAGGTGACCCTGTATGACAAGCTGTCCATGAACCCAACCCTAGAGCTGACCAATGCAGCTGTATAGCTGTTTTCCCAAGTGCTGTGCTTCGAGGGACCACAGACACCCCTCTAGCAAGCCGAGAGCAGCAATGTGGACCAAAAGCTCCCAGTTGCCCAAATTCCAACCCTGCTGTTTTTGATACCTCCCCATCCTCACAAGCACCCTGATATCTATGCTTCCCTCTACACTGTGTTTAAAATCCCTTTTCTGCATCCCTATAATCTGTCTTACCTTGTTGACAAAGGCCTCCTCCCTGGAATGTGTAATGGCTTATAGATGTTGTCTTGGGAGCTCTTGCATCTTAGTATGCAGAGGCCACCCAGAAGCCTGCAGCACCTTGGAGGGAAGTGAAATTCATGTTGGTGCACAGGGGTAAGGCAGCTCTTTCTTCTGCCCAGTCACAGTGATTAGAAGTGCAGCAAGTTATAATCGTGGTTTAATCTATGAACTGATAACACAGTCCCCAAGTACGACAGTCACTACCCAGGGACAAAAATGCTGCTTTTCCCGTTCTAATATTTAAAGCATCTTCTTGGAAAACTCCATTCCTAAAAATCATTTGGGCCTGGTAGTAGCCTTTAGGTTTAGTAAGGGTACAACCCTTTACAGCCACTTACTAAGCCTAAATGTCCTGCCTTGTCCTAAGCTGTCTTTTGAGTGCTGTAGGAGCTGGTGTGGCTCAGCTTCCCTTAGAAACTAAGGTACGAGGGATTTTCTAATGGGTTAAAATGGCAATGAGGAAAAGTAAGTGCAGAACTGCTGGAACAGGGAGCATTCTGTGGGGAAGGGGGCTGGGACTGCGTTGCCATAACAATTCTCATGCCCCGTGTGGCTCCTGCGGCTTGCCCCTGGCCCTACAGGCTCATTTCAGAGTAAGAGCCAGGGCCCTCTCCACCTCTGCCTAATTTCATAGAGGCAAGGGGCCGGAAGGGCCCCTCAAGCCCCAGCTCTGGTTTGGGGTTGCGTCGAGCATTTTCCAGCACAACCGCAGTCCCCCAGCAGGGTCCATGCCGGCGGCTCCCTTCGTCCCTGCTGCTCGTGCCCAAGACGAGGGCCCCTGGAGTTGCTGCTCGGTGGCCCCGCCCTGCCCTGGCCGTGGGGGTTGGGGGCGGTAGCCTCGAGCCGGACTAGCGGGGAAGCCCGGGGCAGGGGTGCACACGTGTGTCCATGGGTGGATGTGTGCACACACGTGCGTGCAGGGGATCGCAGCCCCGCGCTCACCTGCCCTCGCTCCGGCCCGTCCCGCCGCCCCCCGGCACCAGCCCGGCCTG